TATTTCTTTTATATTTTCCAACATATATTCTATGTTTTCTATGTCGTGAGTTTGTTGGAATGCTTCTACATTTTCTTTCATTAGATTACATAACAGAGTAATATCTATAATAGTTCGATGCCAGTATTCTAAGTATTTTTGATTTATCATTAATCCGAATATTGAATTTCTAAATCACTTAAGTTAAATTCTGGAATTTCATCTATTTCATACCATAGTTGATTTATTAATTCTTCCTCTTCTTCTTCGAATATCTTTTCCCATATTATTCGTTTTAGTTCTATGATGTCTATGTCCTTTAATATATATAAGATTAGTGTTTTTTTATATGCTAATATCATTTCATCATGTAAGGAAATATTCATGATTATTTGATCATAATTCCCTTATACCATATGCATAACAAATGATCTATATTAGATTACTATAAACTAGATTATTTTAACATGTTTTCCGGTCACTGTTAACACCGTACTTTCAAAGGTACTTACTTCCTAACAGCGCCTCAACAACGTTTACTCCCCTCACGGCTTCCTTGCCTATGGTTTCAACCTTAGGATGACATAGTCTGGAAGTATTTCTTTTTTTCCTCATGTTAACAAACTAAAAAACATGCTTAAATAATTCTAGTATATAATAACTAATATTAAACTTATTTAATCATGCTTATGATATTCAGAAATTAATAGATTTTAGTTACACATAATCATAAATATATGTAACCTGTGTAGTATCTGCAATATTTTGATCCATAGCTTATCTTGAAAGCTGATTTATTTTTATTGAGAGTAATTTGTTTACAAAGGAGGCTATGCTTTATGTCAAGAAAGTCTTGCCTATCTATGCCATAATGGCTATCTATTTATACAAATATAAGTAACCCTACTATGGTTACTTTAATCTATACTATAATTACTTTACATCTAACTATAGTTACTTTACATCTTTACCACTATTCACTTTTGTACATATTACTACTACTAATCTAACACGTTGCTACTACTATTTTACAAAAGTCTTCCACTATCTCTTTATCTTCCACTATCTCTCTCCTTTATCTTCTACTGTCTTCTACTATCTTCTACCATTAGCTGACAATTTTCTCTTTATTTTGTCGGCCTCTTGCTTATTCTAGCTGTACGTCTGGGATTACGTTATCTTCTCCTTGGCATTTAGAACATTGGTGATCCGGATATTTGTGTCCAATAGTTTTACAATATCTTGTCATTATTTCTGATGAGATAAAGTTCTTCCTTATAGCTCTTGTAGTTGGCTGTTGCTCAGGTTTTAGCAGACTTAGTGCCCATTGCCTGAGTTCTTCCATATCTGCTGCTCTAATTTCTCGACAATTTGAATATATCATTGTTTGCTCTCTTGAATAATAACTCCATATTGAATTTTTGTTTAAATAATTAGATGTTAACTCATTTAAGATAGTAGCTATTCCAATAACTCGTTTTCCTGCATAGAATGCTGGTATCTCCACTTTTTGTATTTCGTCTTGTTCTTCTATTTTTTCCGGTATGATCATTTCTCTGGTTAATCCAATTTTTATAACTTGTATTATTGGTTTGATTTCATCATAAAGTATCTCGGCTGGTGCTGAATAGAATTTTATATAGAAAAGTGTCCCTTTAGTTATTCTTTTGTAGTTCATGAATGCTTTGTGTAGTTCCGGTATCGTAGCTATCTCATCTCCTGTTTGGGTATATACTGTGTTTAGTAATCCATAGTTGTAACAAGTTGCTACTAGATTTGCATTTGTCTTTGGTAAGGCAATTAGTTTATTATATCCTTGTAAGGTTTGGGTGATATAATCTTCGTGTGGATTTTGGGTAGTTTTAGATCTGGGGTTTT